ACGCGTCCAATAATCCAGTGTAAAGGAATATCCGGTTCTGTAAAAACCATCCCTACAATTAACGCCGCAATTTCCGTTCTTGAGAGACAGATCGATTTTACGGATCGATTTTACACGTGCATGAGAAATACGAGAAAGATATTGCTCGTCACTTTTTTTCATCAACTAGATATTTTTATACGTAAAAGCGGAATTATATTAAATTTTTATTTTTTATCTCTCTCTTTTGCGCCCACATAGTTATCATTTTATTAAAAAAAGTATATATCAGTTTTTATTCACCGTTTTTGTTACAACAGAGAGTGCTCCTCTGTATATAAAAAAGTTTGTAGCTAAAGATTACATACATTTGTTTATCTATATGACCCTAGATAGCACAAAAAGGCCAAAAGACATCTTAAAAATCTTCGAAGAGTGATAAAACGTCTTTACATAATTTTTTAGATGTCTTTTTTAGAGACACGTGTTTATCTAATATTAATATTGATAACAAGTTAGCATTATTGATGGTATTTATCTGAATACGAGAGCAAATATTTCGCTAAAATTCTGGTTATTTAATAATCTCTGCGGCATCAATTTTAGAAAATTATTTACTAATACAAATTTTAATCGCGTGAACATAATCATACAAGTGAACTTATCAAGAAAGTGAATTTATTCAACAGCCTATTCTTTCGCACTTGGGAAAATCTGATAAACGCCGTTAATTTGATTTAGAAAGTTTTACTTATATAATAAATGCGTTCGATCGTACGGAGATCGTATCACGAAAATTACTCCCATAGTCTGATATGTACAGGATGAATGAAAATGTCGAGGTATCGAAAGCTTTTGAACAATTGGTGATTAAAAATAAAAGACTTTGCAAACCAAGTTTTATAACAAGCAAGTAGCAAAAGCAATTTATCGACGAATATTATTTTATTTATTATTTCAAATTTTATTTTATGATTTCTTTTCGCGAAAATAATATCGAAAATTGTAAAGTTGAAGGTGAAAAAAAAAAAATGATGATTATCCTCGTCATTACCTTAATTGTTCGAAGAATATGTCGTTTAAAAGCAGTATCAAATCATCTCAGTATATATATGCGCACACATATACACTGTTAATTTCGCCGACAGCAATTAGACAATCCGAAATAATTACCGACGCTCGAGTGTACTTGTCACTTTTCCGTAAATAAGTTGCATACGCATTTACGGGATTACATGTACTGTGCATCGCGACAGACTTTCCATCTCTTTATTTGCATCAGTCATGTCAGTGTATCTTTGATCTCTAATGAATCATGCACGTAATGCAGCGAATTATTCTTGTATGCATATATACATATGCGCAAATGGAAATTACCCCGAATTACTCCCGAGTGGCACTTGATTAGTTATTTAATTACACTCGTGGAACACGCATGATATTTCATTATATTATGTCACATGTAATACACATATTGCACACTCTATGTAAATGCAATTTTTCTTTTAAAATTTTTTTATTATAAATATTATTTCTATAGCATTTTATGAGAGATTTAATCACTTTATTAAAGAAAAGCTAAATTTTCAAAGAGCCTATCGCGTATTGCAGCATATTACGCTGCCTTTGTGATCACATATTTTGTTTAATTTCCAATTAATTACATTGTATTACTTTTCATCGTAATATTGAAAATTCCGAGCTTATATATATACATATTACATGTGGTAGCACACAATCATTTGTTTATATATCAAAATAATGCTTATCTGAAGAGAATTTTACAATATTAAAAAAAATTGTTTATATATGAGTGATTAAAAAAATTTCAACGCGTTCAAAAGGTGTTTTTTTTTTAGGTGATGTGCATACATACATGTATATATATAATTTACGCATTCCACGAATATCATCGATTTATGCATCTGCGTTATTATTTGACAACAATATGCACACAAATAGTAATTTCATTGTTATTTTTATTTTATTTTGTTTCTCTTTTTTTTCAAAAAAATCGACTATATACATACATATATATATTTATATAAAAATATTCCGTGTCATGTCACCCACGTATACGCCTACGTACGTTACATTTTCCCTGTGTGCACACGATATCAATAACGGTAATGAGTGTACAAGTGAAATAGTTTTTAAATACGGGATCTATGTCAGATCAGGAATCTTAAAACATTTCATTTGAGAAATATCGATAAATCAAGTCGAGCGATATATAAAGGCTATAAGAAAGAAAACGTATGAACGATAAAGCTAATCTTAAAGTCGATCCGCATCGTGGGGGCGTATGCTGTTTTATACGTTGAAATATATCCGGAAATCGTCAACGTCTTCGTAATTACGTGCCTTGATGATATTTGATGTGACTTGGAATAAACTTAAAAGATTTATTGACATGATCAGTTTTTAAATCTTTTCTCATATCCGTGTCTGTACGAAGAGAGCTCATTTCTCTCGAATATAATTGGCTCTTGGAGACAAGCTCTTCGTAAGAGAAAATAATCAATATAACGTTTTGAAAGACGCACTTAGATTGTCTCTCAACTTAAGGTCTATTCTAACAGTGAGAAATTGATGATTTTGAGGAATTTTTTTTTAAGAATATTAAAAATTAATTTTTTCAACGTTTTACATACATTTTTATTGATCTTTAAATAGTACGTCAATATTTTTATAATTTAGGTATCTTAGGAGCTCAGAGCTTAGAAGAAGACTGGGCTCTTAAGATAGTTTACTTCGCCGCATAATTGGTGAATGAAAAAGAAGAGATATAATGCGCAGAATGTACTAAATTCTCACAATGTTCGTTTCGGTTACAGACAATGAGAAACAGACCGCGTAATCTGCAAGCGCGTCGCAGGAGATGGCCCCTGCGACTGGGTCTGTTCCTGATTTACATCCTCGTACAGTATGTCGCCTCCGCGAGGATCACATCATCCGAGACGACGCTCATCTCGAGTTCCATGCAATATGAAAGTTTGATGTCGGAGCCCACAGAATCTTCGATTACCTCCACCGAGGAAGCGATAGAGGTATCATCGATGGTCTCGTCGGTCGTTGAGGAGTCGGAGAAAAAAATTCATACCGAGGTATCTAAAATTGAAAAAGCGTCGTCGAGAAGACACGGAGATGCGAAAGCATCCGAGAAGGCGAGTGTGCGAGATCAAAAGGAGGAAAAGGAGGCGTTGAAGAAGGAAACCGAGACATCTCCGTTGAAACATGTTCAAAGCAGTAGCACCACGGTGAGTATCGCAAACCACATCTGTGCGGTATACCGGAAACATGTCCTGTGTATCGTGTATAGCGCAGGTGGACTGTAACGTTCCAAGAAAACAAGATTAGAGATCCGTTGCCTCGGATTGGAGATGCGGATGCATCGTGTTAGTACACGATGCATGACGCGGGTTGCATAATACATCTGCATCAGGTGCAATATGTCACCCATATTAAGTTGGCTCCTCCCATCAACGCCAAATAAAGTCGCATCTATCAAATAATTTAGTGCTAATTATGTGCTAATTTGTTGCCGTAGTCCGGATTTTGTTGCTCAAACTGTTTAGCAGGAATTTATGTTCAAAGGGGGGGGGGGGGGGCAGCTTGACATTAAGCTAGCCCCCCCATAGTGAAAAAAATATATAGAATGCTCGAATCAAAGTAAAGTGTGTGCCGCCGTACACTACCAGGCGCGCGGCTCACCGACGTGCGCCTGGCTAAAGGTTGGCGCTGATTGGCCAGACTTTACTCAATAATAATTCCTTTATTAAGCGTTATAGAAAAAAATATTACAGAACTTTTCTGTTCAGTTTAACTTACTCTACCTGCACATTACGGGTGGGGCGATTATTATCAGACACTCTGTATATATAAAATGAAGAAACTCGCGGTAAGACTTTGAAACTCTTTAAGGAAACGTTATCTTATTCATTCTCGCTTTTGGTGAGCTGCCATTCAAAAAAGAATAGATTGCTGAAGCGGTTTTTATTACATATTTTATTTAGCACGGACAGATATTGGATGATATGTGATATTCCATCCGCTTTTCATTGTCTGCGCCACATGTTTAATTTGACAAATTCTTAACGCTACGCGACAAAGCTTTTGTGGCGGCAAATAGTATAGCTGTGTGCACACAGATGATGTTTTTGAACGCAGCCTAAACAAAGGTCTCGGCCCGCACGCACACAATCAGAGAACCCCGTACATATACCGCGCAGAGCGCTCTGCGCAATACATGTGCGGAGTTCTCTGATTGTGTGCGTGCGGACCGGGATTTCGCTCTAGCATCACAGGATCGGACAAGTTCAGTTTCTCTTTCGCTGTGACCAAGTGCAGATCGAAGAATTAGAAATAGTGACTAACATGGATTACGAGATGAACGAAACGCAAGAGTCCGGAAGCATGGAAACTGAAGGTAAATTTTAGGTATATCATACAATATACACTTTTCTTT